TGCAGGTATACCAGTTTTTTTTGGCTCTTCAGTGTATATATATATATATACATCAATCGTGTAGATTATATCGTAAACTTTCAATTATATCATTAAATTATTCAATTACATCGTAAATTTTCAATGCACTTGAGCAAGCGCTGGGTCTGCTCAACAGCTGCTACACAAGAGAAAGCTTTCGCACGGGTTACCGTAAACAAGATATCCGATCCTTAGTTCGAGCGTTGTGACCTCTTTCTTAGTCTACCCTCCCCCCACACTGCCTAGTTATGTTTGTTACGTCAGACTGCTTAATTAATCCCTGCGGTGAACTTCTCTCTTCTAGAAGGTGTTGTTCTATACCGATTTCTTCAAAATAAGGTGGGATTTAATAACGAAGATAGTTTGTTACTTACCAGTCCGCCACGTCAACGATCCTCGAATGATAAATATCTTATCATTGTCATCCCTAAAAAAGTAAAATATTCCTGGAGTAGTAGCTTTTAAAAATGATGAGTACTTATGAACTAGTTACTTCTTTTATTCAAAAATCAAACAAACTTGAGAAATTGGAAACTTCATAGTTTTAAAACAACAAATTTTTTAAAAATTGTTAGTTTTTGCTTAATCTGTACAGTGCGGAACAAAAACAGACCACCCTGAGTTACTTTTGATCTGATGAACGGATCTTCGCTTTCAAAGAAACAATCTTAATGGTTTGAATGGATGACCTCAAATGTGCAAATTTATAAGCGTAGACGATATTTTAAGTTACGGAATCAGTTATAAAAGCCTAAATTCTCTGAATAAACATCCCCATTTTTAGACTTGTTTCAGATTTCTGATAGGGAGTAAGTCCGATCTGAGAAATATAAAAAATATATTAAAAATTCAATTTCTCCGGAATAGTGTGAACGATTTTGCTCAAGTTTTGAATTATTTAAAATTTTATTCTTTAAAATGATGCAAAAAATTTTTAAATCTTGCAATGCAAAATTGCTTCGACTATTATTAAATAAAATAATAAAAATATTATTAAACATTATTTTTTTTGCATGGAATTGTTTGTGGATAAAGGAATTTCATAATTGCAGGCAAAATTTTGTTCGATTTGATGTCAAAATACTCAAAAACAAAAAATAGTATTAAGGAGTTCGAAATTTGGATTGCTGTCCCATCAAACTATGGAGATCATATTGTGGCTACCCCTATAATTTGGAGATCACAAATCCAAATCCGCAGAAGAAAAGGTTTATTTATTCAGAGAATGTACGTTTTTGTGTCTGGTTTTGTAATTTAAAATATCTTTTGCACTAATTAATTAGAATATTTGAGGTCACCCCTTCGAACCGTTAAGATTGAATCCTAAAACGTGAAAATTTGATTATTATAAGAAAAGGTATTTAGGGTGGTTCGTTTGTTTATTTTTTTTTAACACTATACTTTCTTCACAAGTATACTAAGCGAAAAATAGTCAAACTATCTCCCTCACTGTTCTTTTAGGACGATGTAGCCACGCCTTGTGCATAGTCTGACAAGCAATTTTTGAATTGGAGGCCATAAACTCTTTCCATTCCTCAGATTTTAAAATTTCTTCATCATGGATGATTATGAAATCTTGAACTGCATACAGAAAGTCGGAAGCACAATGCATATCAGCGAGACGTAAGACTTCGCAAGCATTTTTCGGAGACAATTGATCAATCAAAATCGAAGCACACTTATCTTTGAGAGTCATTATTTGATATTTATCTGAAGCAACATACAGTTTAGTAACGCTGTCCCAATTCCTGTCTTCCAAAACTTCGGAATACATAAAAAACAACATTTTATCGACAGTTTCTGGATCTAAATCAGATATTTCAACTACATTTTTCTCCTTTTCTAGCATGTTACTTTCGAACATAGCACTGAATACAGGAGATCGAGCACATA